TTGTATACTGAAAAAGTATTTCTAACCAACTTTAGTAACTATTACGGTCCGGTGGTACGGTAAAATATTACTGCCCTATATAGTAAAAGTACGGTCTAAATGGAGCGGTACTCAAATTAGCTACCAGTATGAATGCCATATTTATATAAGATGTTATGCCATCAAAAGTGACGAAACTTTTACAAAATCTGATAATGAAGCAATACACTATTTTAGAAGTGTTGCTTTCTGTGAAGCAGTAAATCCTCTTCCAAAAAAATAAGCAATTGGGATTTTCCAAAAAGAATTAATTACCACTGCCATGATTACTAATACTTCGTAAATGCCTACATCAACATAGCCCTGATGATTACGACCGTCAAATTCAATGTGCTCACGGATAGACATTTCATCGAACGTAAGGGGTGATGCTCAAATCTTTTTTTCTTTTCATATAGCATTTATGGTTTCTACGGCTTCCTTGGTTTTTACGGCTTCCTTAATGATGTCGGGTTTAGAGCCTATGTTTTGGTACCAGACTCGTAGTGTACGAGGATGTTGTAGGCACAGGTCAAATTGTAAGCTCTAGGGCTATAAAAGTGTAAATTAGGGGCAAATGTCTTTAGTTGCGTATCATACTCTTGTTAATTTTTTTTTATTTTGTTTTTTCTTAATCAACCTTTCGAGGAGATTCTACAAGAAATCGTTTGAACTTGACACCGTTACAGCACTAATGTTATTTTGAAGTGAAGGAAGCCTTTCAAGGTTTTTTTTCACTTGAGACACCTTTTCCACTTTTTCATTAGCCCGTTTTTTGTGCTCTTATATTTTCTGTTTTTTTTTTGTTTCATATCTAGGCGTCTCTTTCTCGTAGGCGTTTTTCTTCATTTTTTTCTTTCTCAGGAAATTGCCTATAACAGAAACGTTTGCAGTAGAGCTACTGGGTACTGGGGTTATATCTCTGTAGACATATGACGATGCTTTGCGTTTCGGCTTCAATACAACCTACAAACAAATATAATAAGTGTATATATTGTGTACTTATCTGTGATTAAAATGAATAAAATGAGGTTTAACCACCCTTTTACCTATCTCTGCCGCTAGGCAGCAGTGCTTACACTGGCGCATTCTGGCCTGTTGAGTATAGAGAAATGGTATAATTATAAGCTATAAGGCATTTTATCTTAATCTTCAGGGGTAAAAACACATTCGTGGCTTTCTTTATTTGAAACTGACTATAGGTGACCATGTTTGGCGTACTGCAGTAGCCGTTTAAATTAACCTCTCAGACCGCTTCGATATTCCGTCAAAATTCAAGGGGGACCTCACCTACCCACAGCACTTTAACCCATAAACCTTATGTTAAGAGACTACTTTTCTATGAAGAAGTTTGGCATTATAGAATCAATATGAAATTTTCTATCCTCTAGTGCAATAAAAAAACTTCGTTCATTTCGTAATCCATTTTCGCGTTATTGTGTTGATTTTTGGATTTTTCTAGTGTTTTATTAGTTTTAGTACAGTTTTTTTTTATAAAATTGTAATGAAAGTTTTGTGTGAATATAATTTATCTTTTTACATAAATAATTTCTAGTAATTTATATTGAAATAATAGTGATTTTCACGCTGCTGACATTCGCTTGATATGTATTTTTTTGTTATCAAAGAAAAATCTGACTTTTGCTTCGACCACAGGATAGAAAATTTTGTATAGGTTTTATAATGCCAAACTTCTTTATAGAAAAGTAGTCTCTAAATATAAGTTTTAATGGTTTTAAGTGCTGTGGGTGGGTGAGGTCGCATGTGACCGCTCGGGATTTGCCGGGCGTATGCGACTGCATGAGATTTTTATTAGGATTGAAGGGCTAAATACTATCGAAACAAAACTCTTTATTTACTACAAAAAATAAAGGGTTTTGAGTTGAGACATTTATTATTATAAATTGCAAAACACAAATATTTGCAATGTATAATAAATGTTTCAATTATACGCGGAATTCAAATTATAGTTACATTAGTGTGACTTCCGTTGTTGCAGATTAGATGACAAATAAGTTATATTGGGGTAAATATAACATAAATGAATTTTTAAATACAGGTGTGTCAAACCATTTGACTAATATGCTATGCGTACGAACTATGCATACCTTGGGCAAGACGGGGACTTGTGAAAGGCTGTAACGATAATGATAATGAAACAAACTATGCGTCACTAGCAATAGTAGTCCACGATGTAACTAGGATCACTCGCGTTCGTTCGTAATATAATACTTCATAGTGAACTTTGTGATGGGTGGCGTGCCCAAAATATTCTGTCACGTGCCATTGGTTCGCCATCCCTGCTATAAAGGCCACACCTAAGTTTAACCACCCGCAATGGGCTGTACTTAGTTTTAGCCACTTAAAGCCGGGATCCGCATCTGCACTTCGGCATTTAGGCGTGAAACGACAAAGTATTTTTTTTAACCGGATTAAAACATATACTTAATTTAGAACTTGATATTCGAGCTTATTTCTAATATAATATATTACAAAACAGAAATTCAATACATTAAATATTATTTATAATCTACAAATAATACTTATCAAAAATTGTCCTTTTTTAGTTTAGCACTTGTTCAGAAAACACCTATAGCTTAAAAAGAACTAGCAAGACAATTTTTTTAATAAAAGTAAGAAACCCAGCTACATTTTTTTGAAAAAAGGAAAATTTAAAAAAAAAACTAAATTTATGTCTTAGAGACTCTTTAAGTTTTCAATCGCAGATTGCTCGTTTGGCTAGCCCCCTTCAAAACAAATATAATTTTAGTGACGGTCATCTTTCCCCATAGCAAAACACCATACGACATTATGCTATGGAAATAGCTTAAATTAACTAGTCTATCTGTTCCAACGCCGCTGTGATTTCCAATCTTTCACAGCATCGACCCGTGGATGTTGTAAAAGGCAACAGTGGAAATCTGAAAATGGAGATGGGCAGTAGTATCTTCTAATGGTGGTTGATATAGCGCATAGCGCCATATTATAGCGCGCTATCTCTCCATAACACATAGCGCGTGCTACGTAAGTAGTCGCTATGGCGCTATTGCGTTATGGCGCTTTGGCGCTATTAAGTATAGTAATATCTAGTGGCAACTAGTTCTAGCAGCAGCGCTGTTGGGAGAGGACGTGAGACAAAAATTTGATCTAGTAGCACGCTATTCATCGCGCACGATCTAATTTAGTGTTAGACGTTGTTTAGTTAGTTTATACTATATATTTATAAGTGATCGAAGGACACAGTTGTCTGCTATAAAAGAAGCCTAACTAATGTTATTAAATGTAAATAAAATATAGATACATGTAAATAGTTGATTTTTATAAATACAATCAATAAACTTTTAAATAAACTGTTCTTGACGTCACAGCCTTTCGTACTCCCCGGCTCGTATCGACGGGCAGCGAAAGTTAAACCAGTTCTGCGCGCCCCACCACCATCGTGAACATAGCGCGGCACTACTACGCAGACCTCTTGCTCGGAACCACCCGGCTGCGAACGCACGCATAACGGCTACTCTTATAATATATTGTATCAGAGCCTATTAAATCACTTATACAGTCTACATATCGAAGTATTTTATTTTAATTTGAGAATTCCACCAGCACAAGTGGAGCTCGATACTCAACATACAGTTATTTGATTTATAATTTATATTAAGGTTAAAATAACGTTTAAAACATCAATTATAATAAGAAATAATTTATTTTATTTCGTTTTGAAAAGTACATGCCTTTATTTTGAAAAAGCGTTCATTGATTTTTCTTTATATTCCGTGTCCTACACGCTTTCTTATAAACAACTTGCTATAACATAGCGTATTTAATAGCGCGCTAGAAATTTATAGTTTATAGTCTGTAGCGTGCTATTGATTTATAGTCGTTATGAACAACTTTAGTATCTTCCTGACCCTATGTTTGCTCCAAAAACATCCAACTTGTAATCTTTCAAAACTTTTCGCATGAGATAAGTCACACAACATGTTTTGTTAGTACTTGCGTTTGCACACCACGAAACGATGTAAATTTTGCGACAATTTTAGGATTTCTTACTGTTTGCGTCAGCACTGATTAAAAATTTATATAATGTGTATATTTCACATTAGGTTTCTTAACTTTCCGTTCGCATTCTTGCTTGATTTGTCTCGCAGTTTGTTTTTATTTTTGTTAGGTTTCTATATAACTAGGGCCTATGCAGATGCAAAGGTCAAACCTTTAGCTAGCATCATAAACGGAGCGGAGTAAAAGTCTAAAGCGCGCGCTTTTGCTTATAATGTATTTTCCCATAGACAATTTAGTTTTTGGTTATTTTTACGTTTTATTTACGTCTCGTACGTGTTGCCGTATCATATCCCAATTACATATGATGTAATTTAGTTTATTGTTGTGAGTGCTAATAAAATATTAAGTACAGGCTGTACAGATGGTTTCAATTTTGTTTAATTTTTTTGGTTGCAATAGTTTATAAACGTAGACTTTTATAAACTATATTAAATGGATAACTAATAATTCCTAAAGAACATTAATCTTTACATTTTTTAACATTTATATTTCCCGGTCACGAAAATTTTCAAATATTTACCTCATTTCAAAGTAGTGCCACGCCACCCTAATGGCGGAAAAGATTGTGGAAGCCCTCATTGCCACTTTAGTTTTAAAAATTGATGAAGTATCAACAGCAAATAATACTATATCATGGTTACCCCCTACTTTGTAAAGTAAGTCATAAGTATAGACAAGAAATAAAACAACAAACACAGTAATATTGATAGATTTTAGTGTTATGTATTTCCGCGCTTTAAATATAGCTTTTCGTTATAACGCGCTTTTTGTTTATAGAACGACGGTTATAACATAGTTGAACTTACTGATTATTCTCTCTGGTACCTACCGGCCGCCGGCCGGCTGTCAAGAGAAAATGTCATTGTCATTCTTACAGCAAATTCATTGGGTGCTAACGGTCGTCTAGGTTGCCGTTTATTAAGTTCCTGTACCACATTTTCATTTATAGTAAGTATAAGTTATTAATTTAATTCCTACCTATATACCTTTTTTGTTGATATCACCAATATTTTTCTCTATCTGTTAAATTTTAGGAGGTCAGCTTTATTTACGAGACGTGCATTTTTTGTCAAGGAGATTCATCTAGAAATTCGTGTAGCGCTTTGTGTCTATCGTGGCAGTAGCACACTTCAGTAACGTTTTTCTGTAGAAATTATATTACAAGACAATACAATTTAATTTTCTTGTGCAAGAGGGTATTCTCCGAAAAATTACGACGGTTAAAATTTTTTCATTGCATCTAAAGATGTGGCTGTTTCTTGAACCGTTTTTTTTTTCAATTAGTGATTAGTCCACGACGCAAAGCACGATGTATTACGTTACACTTTACAACAGCCATAAAATATTTTTTCTTTTAAAGCCTTGGCTATAGATGTTTAAATTATACATATACATTGGTAATTGTTACTTAAGAAATTTCAAGGTAGGCTTGCGACCAATTTTCACAGTTTTGGACTTCTTATGATATTATTTTATAAAGTTGCGACAATTGACTGTCGTTCCTTATTAAAGGTTAAATGATGGCAGAAGTACATAGGAAAAGAGTTCGAAGTGAAACTGATGATGAAATCAATGGAAATGTAGCGAAAAAAATACTTTTAGACAGGTATGTCAGCGTTCTGTAGGTTCAAGCATGCATTAAAAAAAATATACTTGGTGATGGGGCAGTGTGTGTTTCTTTCTGGTTGTATGAAAATTGAACTTTGATACAAGGTGAATGCTTCGAGGAATTATAAAGAATTGTGTATAGAAGAAATTTAGGCCCCAACTGCAGAATGTGAAATTGTAATTTTTTATTTATTTGAAATACATAGGCCATTACTTTTATTTAAAGTTTACTTTTTGATCTTTTTAACTGGAGTAAAAATTAAAGTTAACAACTAGTGCTCTTAAGTAGTTGGTACATCAAAAACTTCAATATACTTTTTAGTCACCCTTAAGGGTGAACCTTGAAGTATAACTAATTTAATAAGAAAGAATCCAAATTTAGGGTTGGCTATAGACATCCGGTACTTGATTTTGATAATGTTTTTAGTCTAGCAAGCTTGTTAGGGTTAAGCTTGAACTTATTACACTGTTTTTAGATGTCGGAAATGCGTTCTGAATTAATTACGATAAAAACAAATTTCACTAAAAATTGTGTAATAATAAAACGCAAAAATGTCAATTTGTTCTCGTATTATGAAGTAGATGTCCAGTATTTAATTTTTTAATTTTGTTTTCAATTTAGGAGGATCGTCAGGGTTAAGCTTGAACCATTTACTGTTTTTAGATATCGGAAATGCCTTTTGAATTAATTACGATAAAAATAAATTTCACTAAAAATTGCAATAACGAAATGCAAATATGTCAATTTGTTTTTTTAACACAGATACATTTATAAAAAAGTTAATCACTCGGACCCATACAATCCATTTGTGGCTGGAGATGGGTCTTATATACAACAAATTGAGTCGCAGTGTAGAGCAGTCAAGAGGTTTTTCAGAAACAAAATTATAACAATTCACATTACATTATTTCATTTATCACTATCATAGCAGAGTTTAGGGCAACCAGACTTTATAGATAAGATAGGTCGAATCGGTTCTAAAACTGAATTAGCACACCCCGACTCCACATAGTCTTGTCTGCCCTACCCCTAGAGTGTTTTTGTAAAGCCGTAGGCTCGGAGTGAGAGCAGTCCCCGCCGGCTGTAGCATCTCACAGGCACCTGAACGAGCAGTAGGGTAATAAGCCGAAGCTGCGCAGGCAAGCATGGGTGCCTGTGATTTGCTACGCAAGGGCGAAGGGGCTGCACTTCCCGCAGTGCCGAAGCCGTTGCAGAAGTAACTTTGCATCAATATTCCTGTATAAAAAAGTGAGGTTATTATTTTACAAAAAAAAATTATTACTAGTAAACTATACATTTTCGCAACGAGAGAAGGGTAGGGGGAGCTTCCCATGATCCCCCCCCTCCCCTCTCACTCTCCCATCACCGTACGGCCGTTGCATAAGTAACTTTGTGTCAATATTCCTGTATAAAAAAGTGAGGTTATAATTTTACAAAAAAAAATATTACTCATACACTATATATTTTCGCAACGGGGGGGCTTCCCATGACCCTTCATCTCCCCCATCCCCCTCCCAACACCATACGCGAGTACCGGACGTCTATAGTTTAACCCAAATTTATTCACAATTAGTAAAAATATTGCATAACATACATTATAAAAAACATACATTTGAATTGAGAACCATTTTTGTTAAGTTTGCTAAAATACAAAACACTTTAAAAATACATATGGAAGTATCTACAATAAATAATAATCATTCATTTGTTAGTTGATAATGATTATAAATTCTCTTGAAGGTCTCAGCTGTGACCTTAACTTATCTAAACTGCTTGTGTTAAGCAATGTTTAGTGCAGTAATATCGTTTTTACAATAATTTTCAATAAATTTTTTATGTTGATTTTACTGGAGTTACTTACTATTGCATCACTTTATGAGTCAGATGTTGTGGTCTTTAACCATAATTTTATTTCAACAAACTGGGATTATATTACATAATAAGTATAATTAGATGATAACATAGTCTATTGATATCATTAGTGGCGTTGTAAGAATCTCCACTGTTTCATATCATTTTATGAATGTCGTAAGAGACGACAGAGGGAAACAGATCAGGAGATGGGCGGCAGCGTCATCCTGATAAAGACTAAAATAAAAAAAAATGTAGTTGCCAAGAGTGACAAGTCTATTGTTAGTAATTAATTATAATAATACAGAAAAGTTAAATGAATAATAAGTGAATAAATAAAATATCTCAGTAGGTACATAGTTGACTTCAGATTATTTATTTGTCAGTACACTAATCATACAACAATGTTAATGTCTTGTCGTGCTTATGCAAATCAGTCAAAATATCAATGTTACAATCTTTAAATCCCTTGCTTGATGCACTCCTCAACACAATTGAGATGCTGTTTGTTATTATCATTGTTAATTACAGGGCTTGAGTTAACTCAGTAGTTCTCTATCTGAAGAATCTAATCGGTAATTCAATCAGTCAGTACTGAATGAATTACTGATTAGATTCTTTGTTCAGATTGTGTTATTGTCTCTAAATAGCTTATCAATTGCATGAGCAATGCTTTTGATATGGTTAGTACTCCCTGTGACAATTTTAAATAAAGGATAGTTCAATTCTATTTAATTTATTTGCTATTCTGGTTGTACACATTTGGTCTTTATTACAGACAAGTGGTAAAATTTAAAAAAAAATTACAACTGACTTCATAAACAATAAAATGGGAACATCATGTGTGGTAGAGCCACGCTGCAGCTATATTATGATTGTAACATGAATGAGTCCACTCTACTGGGGAAGGACCACGTTCTCACAGAATACCAGCATTAAAGTAGCAGCTTAAGACTGCTGTGTTGCGTATGACTGTAGAGATCTGGAGACCCTTTTTTACTGGAAACTAGGCATTCCATCTCAGTCCTCAGGTGTGACAACACATCTCCGTTTGATTCTTAGTCGAGTGTAAATGTAGATATCTATGGGCCACAGCATCCATTTACCATCAGGTGGACTGTGTGCATGTTTGTCACCCTTATTCTAAATAAGAAATCTAGTGTTACACTTATTGACCACTGATGCTAAATGCATAATTGTCTTATATATAGAAAAGTATTTATTTGTAAAGCAAAAAAATAAAAAAGATTTTAATTTATTTTATTTGAAATTGAGTAAAGATTTTAGGATCGGCACTGATATTTGTCATAATATTTTATGTATAAATTAGATATCTAACCCGGGTTCGATCCCCGCCGGCACCAATGAAATTGTTAATTGCAATTTTAAGTGCTGATTTATCACGTGCTTGGCGATGAAGGAAAACATCGTGAGGAAATCTACATGTCTGAGGAATAAGGAAAAAAATATTTTGAAGACATGTGAAGTTCGCCAACACGCTTTGGGGCAGCGCGGCGGACACTTCCTTGCCCTAAAACCCTCTCAGAAACGAGAGGAGGCCTGTGCCCAGCAGTGGGATGTATATAGGCTGTAACTTAACTTTTTATTGAATAAGATTACTTCAAAATATGTAAGTTCGTAAGTAAACAATAAGTAGAATGCAAAAGGGAAGTCATTTTATAAATTATTTTAAAACATGAATCTAGTTTATTACACGACATCCGTAACACACCTTATGTCGCTTAATTTTATTTCTACTGCAGACATCCATTACCTCATTGGCTCTAATTGTAAAGTCTTTCGTGGAAATGTGTAAATTCAAGTGAACACATCCGTACACTTTGCTAAATTAACAAGAGCGTATTCTACGACCTTAATATAGAACACACTCGGTAACTTTTTGTACAACAACTAGAGTGAATTCTGTTACAGCGGTTGAATCTTACAGTAATATTATAATTAAGGCCAAAAGAAAACCCGACGAAATCAAAATTAACGGTACAGAACAGTAAATATGAAAGTTTTCTGACCTTCACCAAAAAATATAGATTTCCTGAGTCTTCTAGGTTGTCACTCCATCTCCGTTTTTAAGTGGCAGAGCTATGCTGCAGCTATATTATGCTTGTAGTACGAACGGGTCTACTCGACCGGGAAGGACCACACTCTCGTGGAATACCAGTGTAAAATAGCAGCTTAATACTGCTGTTTTTCTTATGGTGAGTGTAGAGATCCGGAGACCCTTTTTACTGGAAATGAGGAATCAATTTTAGTTCTTAAGGCTGGCAAGGCATTTGCAATTTGTTGCTTAATCGAGGATACATGCAGATGTCTATTGGCCATAGCATCCATTTACCATCAAGTGGACTGTGTGCTTGTTTGTCACCCTTATTTTATAAAAAATCTAGTGTAGAGGGGTCCTTCACTTACCAGAACAAAGCTGGCACTCAAGAAACTTTCTTTGTTATAACTCAACCTGTCTTCCCCATCA